TACACATGTGCATCATGCTCTTGCATGAAGAATCAACTGACAGAAATACCCCGTATGCAGGTGATAAAGACATATTGCTGCCTAAGTAAGGGAAGTAGACGATTGAAAAGTTATAAAGTCATCACTTTAATCATAAAGCTTGGTTGTTAGATTACCATTAACGCCTTTTTCAAGTAAGATATCTTAATATGAAACAAATGTGTCAGACTCTGAAGTATCTTATCTTTTATCTCAAGCTCACCGGGCCATATCGTATCGACATAAGAATGGAAGTTACCATTGTTAATAAACGTCGGTGATATATTATCTTAATGTCGAGCTGAAAGCCAAAATGTATGTTTTCTTTTCACGTATAAGTTTTTGGAAAAAAAAATTGCTTCATATATGAATACAAAAATAGGTCTGCTTATAACGGGGCGCAATTGGTGCCGATGGGATTTCCAATATATATATATATTGTTGGAAAACCTGGTCTCCGAAAACGACATAGATAATTGTCAATCAGAAACGCAAGCATCTTTTTGATGTCAACTTCAGAGTACTTGTGTGTACAATCAGAATGTTTTTTAACAAAATAATTTTGCAAATGACTATTGAGGGTATTGAAAAAAAAACAGCTGCCAATGATATAAAAAAAAAAGTCTGGACTTTAATTTATCGTGGCGAATGGTTGTGTATTAAGTTGAAATGTCGTAAGTTTCTAAGCTGTATTTCGATAAAATCTTGTGACTTTAAATTTTGCAAAAGTTTCTTGGAATTTTTATGTATCCATGACCTGATTTTACCACTTCTCCAGTATATTGTTGCACAGTACTCTAAGGCTTGAAGTTTCTCATTCACTACTGTCAATATCTCAGTGAGAAGTACGCGCATCTTTATTTTTAAGGATTTTATGAATCCAATAAAGATATGGTAATTCAGAATCACTTTGTTTGAAATACTAAAAATATGCAAGACTGACAAATGATATCGATTTTGAAGAATTTCCTCCTAAGAAAGGGAACCATGGGTGTATTATGTTGGATTATAAATTGTAGAATTAAATCATAGATATTCTGAAATACATTTTATATAATGAGCCTTACAAACAAATACAATGCTGTTACTTGCTTAATGTCCGCAGCGATCTGATCATGTAATCTATATAATTTTTTTTTCACTTCTTGATTATTGAATACAGAAGGATAGATGGTTTTCATATGGCCCCTCAATCTTTAAATGCGCCATTTTAATATGCATTTATGATAATTATATTTAATCCATTCTAACGAAGTGTCAAGATATTCTGTTTCATGTCTGTACACTTCTACAGAATCCATAATATTAAATGAAATTCCGACTCCAGTTGAAGGATAGAGGTTTCTTTATTTTAGGACCTATTAAAATCAATGAACTAAGGTCCTTATAAGTTACGTCACAAGTAACAAAACTATAGGATATAGGGTGAAGAAACCATGAACACGATGGAGGATTATGTTTCAGATTTAAAAAAAATCTTATGATTTGCAATATCCATAATCAAAGTTCCGAGCCTATATTCTGGTATCGAGGAAGAAAAAAGAATTGGACTTTCCTTGACCCTTTCAAGAAGATTTTTTTAAAGTTTCAAAGAGACAGAGAAAAGTTTGGTGCGAATATGATGTATACCAAACTGTTGATTTACTTTAAAAGGTAGTAATGAATCAAAAGAGACTTCGTGTATTAAAGGTTTATTGTATGACTAATCTAATCAAAATAAGACTTTTAAGTCTGATTTTAATTAAATTGATTGTAAGACCGATGCCAATGACTACGGTTACGTATCTTCATTATTTAACTTATTAATCTCTTTTAATTAAAACACATATCCGTAACATTTTTTATCCAATTTCTGATTGTTTTTAGAACTCATTTTTGGGTATGACCCATAGTATACTGGAAAATGGCAGATCCAATGATTTCCTGGACTTGTTTCTTCCTTCTGAAATGTGTTTTTTTCAAGTTTGGAAATAGAAACAAGTCAGAAGGTCAAAGATCTGGCGAATAATGTTAATGTGAAAAAACATTAACTTTCTGTTTATCCCGAAAACCCCTTTACTCTTCAGGGCGTGCGGGTTTGGACGCTGTCATGAAGAAATTTAATGTAGTGGATTCCTGATTCTGGGTCCTTCCTCTAATAAAGCTTTCGATTTTTTGGCAAAAAATTTGCTTTCTAGACTCCTCACGAAATTAAACTGTCTCCCCGAATATGAATTTGAACAACAATACCACTAATATTTAAGAAAATTGCATATAAATCTGTCTTTGTGCTCTTGTAATCCTTTGCTCCTGTCAGACCTTCGCTGTTTTTATCAAGTACATCTTATGGTAAATTTTGTTTTGAGGGTTTTAAGCAATAGATTCAGTTTCAATATCTGTTTGAATATCAAACAAACGTGGATAACTACAATTACTGATATTTTAAAACAATTGTTAAGACATTTGTACTCGCTGTCCTTTTAACTAATTTTTCAAAATAATACCTTTGAGTACTAAACTTTTTTACCTTCAAACGATTTTTAAAAACAGTGTAAACTACTCCCGAAATGATGTCTATCAAATTTGCTATGTGTCTTAAAGTCAATCATACATCATCAAATATTATTTGCTGAAATTTGGCAAACAGAAAATAAGTTGTTATATTTTTTTGTTGGCAAGGACGGTACCCATTTTTGATTCCCATTACTATATATTTTTTTATCATTGAAATCCACCTGCTCATTTGTCTATAAAACAGGCATTGGGTGCTGTAAATGTCACATATTTCAGTGAATATTTCTTTGGGATTTTTAACAAGTTTTACAGCAAGCTTTAATGAAGCTTTTATTTTCACTCTAGTTTTCTGATTCTTTACCATTCATTTATAATGCAGTGTCTCGAATAGCCCTTGTTTTCCAGCTTCTCACAATGAAACTATGTGATGAAAAGTGGTAACATAAACTGTTATAAATTCATTAAAGATTTAATAATGAGAGAAAGTCAAGCTTAATGTTATATGGTATTTGTATTGTATGTCATACACCTCAGGACATTATTTATTGAACAGCCCTCGTAATTAACATGGTTACACTGTGGGCTCGATCACTGGAAAGATTTCCAACACTATCGACATTGTCATTACATCCACATGGAACGGCTGTCCCTAGTTTTTTTTATTCACAATTCTCCTCGTATACTGTAGTCTACGGAAGGTGTACTCAGTGAATGAATGACAATGAGTAAGGGAAGACTTGCAGGTTCTTGAAAGATACCGATTGAAAAAAAAATGACGTTACGACTTAAAAATATTTTTTAAGACATTCTTGAAAAACTTGAACAATTTTATAATTGTATATAAAACTATTTTTTATCTTCTTCTAATAATGGAGAATTTAAACAAACAAGTTTTGGGTGCTTGGTGCCCGATTTCCAAAAAACTTATGTTTTATTGACAGTCTCATTAATACACGGGTCGTTGTTGCCCAAAAATCAATAAACAATTTTTCTCAATTATCAATACAAATTATCAAAATGTTCTTTTCTTTTACATTGATTCAGTGTCGAAGTTCTAACAATCAAGACGGAATTCTACAGGCAATAATTGCCAACCCTGACTATCCTAAATCATTATCATTGATAATATTTTCAATTTTTTTGTCATTTACTACAACCCAGAGGAGTTGATATCAAAGGCAGATTTCACAATTGAAGTGGTGAAAACGGTAACTACTCTTGTTAGTTTGTGCTGGGATGAAACAATCAAAAAGGAGAAAGAAAAAAATGTTAAACATATCATACGGGTATAACCTGCCATTGCAAACCCTGTATATTTTTTCAAGGGGTTTCAATTTTAATTTAAAACTGAAATATTTAATGTCTAAATGAAGTATTTTCGAAAGTATACAGCTAGGTGTTACATTAAAAAAAAAGTAAATGTACTAAAAATGAAAAAATATTTTTATGTTAAAGAACTGTTGATATATGCTCGTCAAAAACTGGACAACTTTTAAGACGACACGGGCTGCTGTCAGATAAGTTGATGTTACAGGGATTTCAACAGGCTTGTTTATAAACAGAAAATCGGCATAAATTCTATGGTCGTTACAAGGACCTAGTTAGCAAATATGACCTATCATTAGGTCGTATTTTGGCTTACGTTTTTCCGATCTGATGAAAATCAGATCAAATTCGCTACGCTCCGAAATTCTAATGGTCACTGTACAAAGATCTGAACACATCACAATGAGGATTATGTCGGAATGAACCTCATATAAATTAAAGTACACGACCTTGTATAAATAAAAGGAATCCTTCCCCTTTTTTACAATACATAGAATGAAATGAACTTCTCTTGAGACAAGATCTCATTAAAAAGTCAAGGATAAGACGGTAAAGTCGATAAAGGAGTTTGAGAGAATCAAACAAAATGCGCAAGTACCGTAAAAAAGCTTTTGTATTTCTTATGATTAACTCCTATATTAATATGTTTTTACTCGCAGTATCTTTTTCCTTTTTTTTTCTTTTCATATAAAAGATATAAAATGTAGAATTTGAATGCAATGTGTACGAGAAGTAATCAATATGATTTGCTGAAGTGACAGGTGAATACAACAGAGGTTCATGATGAAAAACATGGTTTACCCATTGTTTGAAACAATGCAATTAAATGTTTTATAAGAAATAATGCAAATAATGTCATGCAATTTGTCACAAACCCATTGTGCATAAACATTAAAATCAAATTCAAATTATTAGAAAATCCAATGCATTTAAAATCGTAAAATATATTTATATATGGAGATTTCAGATCTCGTGAGGGGTCTGTTTGCATAATGTAAAATGTTACATTACTGATGACGCCGTTTCACATTGATTTTCGCTCATCCCTTGGTGACATATAATGAGTCTATATAGAACTACCTTCTACACCCAAAGGCGTCTGGCGTGAATAATATAACTAAAACCACCTATGAGAATTCTGTCATGCTGCGTTCAACGTTACATTTACTTATCTGGATGACTGTTGGAAATTCTACGCCCGAAAAAGGTAAGATACTTTAATTTTGAATTTTGTACATGTTGTAATGAAAATTATTTTTGCAGCAAATGGATATACTAGTATCTAGAAATGCTCTTTTTTGCTTCAAGTAACGTGTCTCCTAGATTTATTTAGTCATGTATATCTCGTGACTGTTAGCTGAACAGTGAAGAATCATCTTTGTATTTCAAACATATAATTAAATTAGAATTGAACGAGTATTTTTTGGAAGCAAGTGTAAGGAACAAAAATATCTAAACCAAATTAATAAAACAAATTCACCCCATCTCCCCCGCAAAAAAGGAAAATCCGACGAATCCTTTATCTTTTTACATGTATATTGCCGTCTAAAATGACTTTTTTAAATGATAAGAAAAGAACACGAATGAATATAATATTATATATCGAAATCAGTAAACATAAACGCCTTGATTATCCAAATTTAAGAGCAAACCATTATATTTTACTGAGTGAAATTTGCTTCGTTTAAATTATTTTTTTGGAGGAAAAAGTAAAATCTTCAACTTTTTTTTATTTATAAAATGCACACATTGTCTGTTTGGAGTTCACCTCGCGTGAATTATTCGTTGTAATTCTATCGTCTGTGATTCAGAAGCTGGGTATACAAAAGAAATATTTTTTGTCATGTAAATTATTACCAAATTCGTATATCAAATATTTTGTGCTTATCTACAACATCATCTGTCTAGTTTAAAAGTATTTTTCATATACGATTAAAACTCTACAATAGTTTCTCAATGACAATACCTATAAAGCTTTCGTACATCCCTGGGGGTTAACATGAAGGGTACTTAAGTCTAAGGCCATACTTCCGGACCACTAAAACATCAGAGGTGGGATAGAGTGCCATGGGGAGTGAGCATACCCTGCTGACCGGTCACGCCCGCCATGTGCTCCTTGTCATGATCGGGAAATAACGGAAAAATCGGACGTCAATTCAGTGTATAAAAAATGGACTAACAATTAGTATGAAAAACATCAGTCATCATTTGACTCAATGATAAATTGTATTTGCTGACAATGTCATTGTATCGACCAAAGAATTTACGAAATGATGACTTTAAACGAGAATGCTGATATTCTTGTTTCATCAATTTGTCTAATTGTCAATGATTTACCTCGTTTTAGAAATTGTTCATACGTAGAGCATGCTCTTGCGTATTGAATCAACTGAGATATATAAACGCCGTATATATATATATATATATATATATATATATATATATATATATATATATATATATATATATATATATATATATATATATATATATATATATATATATACAGGTGATGATGGTATATTGCGGCATAAGTTGGCGATTGAAAAGTTAAAGTCATCACGTTTATCATAGAGCTTGGTTTTCAGATTAACATGAACGTCTTTTTCAAGTAAAATATCCAAGTATGAATTAGATGTGTCAGACTCTTTGGTATCTTTTATCTCAAGAAGCTCTCCAGAATATATCGTTTCGACATAGGAATGGAAATAACCATTGTTAATTGACAATACGTCGTCGATATATCTATAAATGTTGAGGTGAAGCCCACTGCAAGTGTTTTCTTCTTTTCATGCATAAGATTTTGCACAAATTCTGCTTAATATGAATACGAAAATAGGTCTGCTAATAACTGAGAGCAATTGGTAACCATGCAAATTTCAACAGACTGTTGGAAGACCTGGTCTCCAAAAACCACATAGATATTGTCAATCAAAAACTGAAGCATCTTTTTGATGTAATCTTCAGATTACTTGTGTGTGCAATCAGAATTTTTTTCACAAAATAATTTTGCAAATGACCAAGTAAGTAAATTTACGAGTTCCATTTTTATTGAAAAAGCAGCTGTCAATGGTATAAAAAAAGCCCGGACTTTAATTTGTTGTGGGGAATGGTTGTGTATAAAGTTGAAAAGTCGTACTAAGTTTTTAAGCTGTTGAATTTGGTAAAATCTTGTGATTTCAAATGGTCCAAAAGTTCTTTGGAATTTTTGAGTATCCATATCTGATTTACACCGCTGCTTGAATATTGTTGCATAGTACTCTTGAAGTTTTTCCTTCACTTCACTACTGTCAATATCTTAGTGAAGAGTAAAGAAAGAGGCTTGATTGAACATTTACTGGAACCTGCAATGTATCTTTGTTTGTAAGGATTCATTATATCTTTTTTTTTAAGGATTCTGTATTTGTCAATAAAACATACATTGGTTCAAACATATATACGGTAGGTCAAAATTATTTTGATTCCTCTGGATATTAAAAATATTCAAAACTGACATACGAGGGCTGTTCAATAAATAATGTCCTCGGTGCTCGGAAAGAAGCAAAAGACGCTTTTCTATGATTTAGTCTTAATGGTTTAACTTTATATTCTCTTTTAATTAAAACACATGAACGTAATTTTTTTTATCCAATTTCTGATTTTAGAACTCATTTTGGTATAAGTATACCGGAAAATGGCAGATTCATTAAAGATTCAATAATGCGAAAAAGTCAAGCTTAATGTCATATGATATCTGTATTGTATGTCATACAGTTCAGGACATTATTTATTGAACAGCCCTCGTATGATTTTGAAGAATGTCTTTCTTAGAAAGGGAACTATGAGTATAAGTTGGATTACCACTTGTAGCATTAAATCCAAGTTCTTCTAAATACAATTTATATAATGAGCCTTACAAACGAAGACATTGTTGTTAACCGTTTTGTCGGCAGGGACCAGTATGTACTGATCATGTAATCTATCTAATTCTTTTTTCATTTCTAGATTATTGAATACAGATGGATAGATGGTTTTCATATTGCCCCTCACTCTGTTGATACGTGATTTTAGCATGTACCAGATACATTTAATTCATTCTGACTAAGTGTCAACGTCTTCTTTTTCATATCTGGCCTATCGTTTGGCGTAATCTTCAACAGAATCCATAATATTTATGAATATCCGACGCCAGTTGAAGGATTGGGGCTCCCTATATTTAGGACCTAAAATAAGTGATCTAAGGTCTTCATTATTAACTATTTTACGTCAACTGTAATAAGGTGTCCAGCAGGACTATAGTAATAGGGTGAAGAAGAACATGAACACGATGGAGGATTATGTTTCAGATACTTGATATCCAGGCCATGTAAAGTTTTTTTTTTGCAATTGAAACAATACAAAACAAAAAACAGAATTTAAATGTTAATTTTAAATGAGTTTGTTGAAATTCCTGTAACATGAAGTTATATGTCAGTTGCCTTTCTTGGTTTAAAAATCATATTTATAGTATGCTGTTGAGATACAAATAAGTCTGGAAATGTTAACACCTAGCGCAGTCGATTTGTGGGTTATTCTAATCTGCATGAAGTTAAATCATATGTTATTGTAGATTATTATGTTAGGTTTGCCCGTGATTCGTTTTCTTCAATAAATATCTTCATTATTTTTTTAGTCCATGCATGTGACAGCTATTTAGTAAAGAATGTAACAGACGATAAACTTACAGCATCAAGTATCTACAGCTACAAGTACCCCGCCCTAAAAGCCCGATTGTCTAATGCACAAGGATGGAGTCCGCTGGTATCACAGGCCAATCCTTGGATACAGGTACATGTTTTTTTTTTCGGACATATTAAATGAAAATTCTATGTGAAAGTTTTAATTACTTTAATTCTGCATTAATGTTCAGTCTGAATAAATGTAAAAAGTGAAGATACCGAAAAAGGCAAACAAAAAAAGAAAAATCTGGAAACAATATCTCCGGTCGACTGGTCGCACCTGCAAAGAGACCCCTGTATTGAATGGAAAAATTATCCTTGATCGATTCTTAGAGAAGTATATGAGAGGTCAACAAGGGATTTGTACTCCCTGATCTCACCAATTTCCAGGGGTTCTTATTTTATGCCCTCTAAACAGAGTTGTATTGTTTATTGATTTTTTAGACCTCACTATTCATTATAACACCTTTTACATTGATATTGCTTACAATTCAAAATGCTGAGAGAATAATATCAATAATGTTTGTTTCACAGGTAGATTTCGGAAGAGAAATGTCGATAAGAGCTGTGCTGACAAAAGGAATGGGTGGGTTAATGGAATGGGTGAAGAAATACCAGGTCATATACAGCAACACGGCATCTACCTGGATGGTAGTGCAATATGGCTCTTCTAATGTACGTCAAAAGTACCATATACATGTATATATTTTAATGTCCACTCTGGGTCAAATAAAATTCTCGTCATCTTTTCATAAACTTATGCCAAGAAAAGTTCATTTTGTCGTTTAAGTCTGTTCCATATTTAGTGTCATTTGCAGAGACGAGTGATAGCTATGTATCAGTTTACCCGGTGTTTGTCTGCCTGTCCGTCTGTTACTCCTCATAGCTGGAGAATTCCAGAGAGATATTTTTTTTTTTTAATTTTTGTACATAATATACTAGTATTGTTGGGCACTACGGCGTTTGTAAAATACCCTTATTATTAAGCTTGTTACTTGTCAACTTGATTTGATGTATTTTTCTATCATTGCTCATAATGCAGATAATCAGCATATTTGGGTCATATCAGAGATAACTCTGTAAGAACATGTAATGAGACATTATGAAAAATACAACGAATTTTGACCTAATTCTCAAAAATACCCCCAGAAGGTTACTTTAAGTGAATGAAGGATATGGAGATAACGAACAGTATTCAATATCAAAGTCCATAAAACAATACAAAACAGGAGCAGAGCAAACACGGACCTCTAATACATCAGAGGTGGGATCAGGTGCCATGGAGGATTGAGCATCCCCTGCCTACCGGTCATACCCACCGTGTGCTCCTTGTCATGATCGGGAAATAACGTGAAAATACGTCGTCAATTCAGTTTACATGTATAAATAATGGACTAACAATTAGTATGAAAAACGTCAGTCAGCATGCTCGGTAACAAAAATCGTACTTGTGGCGCAGTGGTAGAGCGTCTGCTCTAGAGTCGCGGAGTAAGGAGCTGATATTTTCATTGTGAGTTCGACGCCCACTGTAGGACATAAAGACCGGTCCTTCGGATAAGACTGTATATATCGAGGTCCAGTGTCGCAAAAAATGCTGGCACGAAAAAGATACCTTACTGCCACTGAGTGATGAGTATAGGTTTTAAATATTGCAGCTCCCCAACGGCAAGGATTGGCGTCTTCATATAATTTTCTCGAGATAATCTCGAGAGGGACGTTAAACAAAAAAAATCTCGAGAGGACGTCAAACAACAAACAAATTCGTATTAGAAAGTTACATCATATCACATGAAAGAACGACTTTTCTGTCAAGAAGAGTCAAGTGTCATAATGCTCTCCAACAGCTAGTGAGACTTTGATGGATTGATTGATAAATTGCATGTTTTTACATCTCATTCTTGAATTTTTCACTCATATAAAGACGTCATCATATACCGGTGATGAGCTTCAAAGTTGGAACACTTCTCGGTTCTCATGGTTACTGAGCATTGTGACAACGACTGTCGTGATAGGACGCCTTGGCTTTTAAAGTCTTTTGTAAATTTTCCAACCACAATTTCCGATCACGGATCGAGTTGACTACCAACTGAGATACCGGGATGGTACGAAACG